GGGGCGGAGTCTACGAACAAGCGATACAAACAAACTTAGGGCCAGCAGCGGTAAATCCTTCTGTCAAAAAAAATGTCGTTTTTCAGGGGTCTCCAGCCAGAACGGGCAAAAGCATTGTGTGAGTATCTTGTAAGAGATGTGGAACCTGGTTTTCAGCTTAAAATTAACAAAAGTGATGTCTTTGCGAGGTCTAAGGCCCTCAGCAGACTATCTTAGGGCTTCGCCCTAAGCGAAGGCCGGTAACAATACCCCACTAGGCCGCTTTGGACAAAAATCTGTGCAGGGGCCCCTGCGACATACAGTTGGGAAGCAGCATGGTGTTGTTGGGATCGAGCCTGGGCCATGTTAAGCCTACTTTCAGAAGGGGCGGCTGAGTGACCAGGCCGTATTCTGATGTCACGAGCCAGCGATGTTGCCACAGGCCTACCAGTGTGCACGTCGGGCAGTTGAGCCCTCTAGCTGAATGGGTCCCAAGGAGCCTGGGTGCAGGAACTGGGTACTGAGGTACTAGGCCTCTGTGTGCAGGCAGAGAGGCCCACGATGCAGCCAACTTTCCATAAAGGAAAGTGCTGCCCTCCAGTCCAGACATTCTGGATGGATCATGGACTGCTGCATGAGTGCTGCCTGGCTGCACACTCATTTGGACGCGAGGTCGCTCGCTGGGAAGCGCATGCACGGGTGCTGGTGAAGACAGCTGTTGGACACTGCATTGCACGCCGGCGCACGTGCATGGGAGCCAGTGGGGTGTTCGTGGTCCTTGGGCATGGTGCATTGGTGGTAAGCCTTTGAGGGGACAGTTAGGGAGTGAGCAAGGGATGAGAAGAAGGACATACCTGGTGTGTGGTGGAGGTCTGCATGGGTGACGTGGCTGACGTCTAACTGTAGATCAGTCCGCTGCTGAAGTGCTTCTGGTTGCATCACTGTAGTGTAGGTTAGTTTAGGTGTCATCAGTCAGTAGTTGGGCACCAGACGCCTTGTGGAAGAGCGGCATTGGATACTTGTCAGTGGTGGCGGGACAGAGTTGACATTGACAATTTTGTTCATTGTTTTGCTCTTATTTGCTGTGTACTCGGTGCATTCTGCTTTCTGTGTTGCACACGACTATATGGTTTTCAATGTGATGATGCAAGTTGGATTTCTGTCATTCGCCCTCACTCATTTTCCTTACAATTTGGTATCGGAGCCCTTTCAGAAAGGGTTGCTGTCGGGACGAAACTGGCCGGAGCTGAGGTGAGTCGTGTTGCCCTGTAACCTATCAGGGTGGGGGCATGAGGCCTGGGAGAGCTCGGCAGGGAATTAGACAGTGTTAGAGAAGTTTAGAGTGTTTTGTCGGGGAGTCCAGGGGTTCTGAGCATTCGAAGGACTTTTGTGGTGATTGTTGCTTGAGTAGCCTAGCAATAGGTCAACAGTTATCCACGTTTTTCCTAAATCTTCCTGAACTTTTTTCATAGTTTTCAGATTGTTCTTAGCCGAAGCCAGGTAATGGCCCTGGTATTTCAAATCATTTGTATATTCTACATGGGACGCTGGGCCCGGTTCCCAGCACGTGTTGCTCCCCACGAATAGATTGGAGCATTTGTCCCAAAAAAAAAAGAAAAAAAAAAAAAAGGAAAAAAGAAAAAAAGATACCGCTCCATTGGCGCTGGTGCTGATCAGTGTATCCCCCCTGCCCACGACCCCGCTGTCAGGGCTGCGCAGTCGCAGACATTGCGACCGCCACGGCGGTCAGGCGGGGCAGGGGGGGGGGGGGGGGGGGGGGGGGGGGGGGGGGGGGGGGGGGGGGGGGGGGGGGGGGGCGGATTGGGGTTGTGCAGCCCCAACCCCAACCCCACCCCGTATCAGGAAAAAAAAAAAAAAAAAAAAAAGATTTTCGGGGGCAAAGAGGGTGGATAAAAAATAATTAAAAAAAAAGTCTTGATTGGTGGGGGAGGGGTCCCCCCCCCCCTTTACCCTCACACACACACACGCACACACTCATGCGCTTTTTCTTGCTCACTTTTTTTCTTTGTTTCGATTGATTGATTGATTGATTGGTGGGGGATGGGTCGCCCCCCTCCCCTACCCTCACACACACACACACACACACACACACACACACACACACACACACACACACACACACACACACACACACACACAGAGAGAGGGGCTCGTTAGACACTCCTTGGGCCGTCCTCGGGGCCCGAGGAGTTTTCCTTCGGGCCTTCCAAGAGATTTCCCACTGTCGTTCCACTTATCCTCACGAAGGCCTTTCGAGGAGGATTCCTACGGAGGCCCCGTGGCCAGTCGCCCTCCGTTTAATAATAATATTGCCGACCGCGGGGTGAGGTGGGGTCGTTGGTCCATGGGCGGTTGTCCGCTTGGAAGGTCGTGGTCGAGCAGAAAGTGCCGGCAAAATTCGAATCTTCATGCCGACCCAAAAGAAAAAAGATTAAAAAAATCGTCATGCCGTCCCGGTTCGAAATTCAAAATTTGAATGACGTCGCTGGGGTGAGGGCGGTTCATCGTGTGGCTGCGGCGGCTGGTGGAGGACATGGGAAACGAACCTCCTTCCACTGCGCGTCGGGGGTTCGCCGTGGGACCGTGGGTGCTGCGTTCTTCCGGGTGAGGAAGTTGTCGGAGGAGAAGACGCCATTGCGGCAGAGTGACGACGGAGAAGACGCCATCGCAAGTCGTCGGGGGAGTGGACGCCATCGCGACAGTCATCAGGGAGAATACTCGATCGCGGCAGTCGTGGGCGTCGGGGGAGAATACCCAATCGCGGCTCGTTTGGGAGCGATGGACGGCGGCGACATTGAAGTCAGTGGGAAGCTGTCGACGGCGGAGAGGACGGCAGTTGCAGCAGCTGTCACCTCAGTCGGAGTCAGTCCTCTTTCGTTGTCAGATGAAGAGGACGACGGGGAGAATGAAAGCGCAGATCCGTGTGAGGAGGAGGAAGGTCATGCAATGCACAGCGGTGGAAGGGTTGGACACCGCCGCCATTTGCGACGCCGTCGTTCAGGTATGCTGCGCGTTGGGTTGCAGAGGTCTTCCCAAAGGAACGCCGTGGTGGTGGATGAAAAGAAGGACGGGCAGGACGTGGCAGGATCTGCGGCAATGCGACGACACGACGGAGGATTACTTTTGGGACAAGTTGCGCATGTCGCCACGTGTCTTCTGGGAGATTGCGGAAGCTCTGTCGCCATTCCTGCAGCGGCGTGTGACATTCTACAGGGAGCCGCAGCAGCCCGATCAGATCGTCACGTACGCGTTGTATCGATGGGTGTCGGGGGAGACGTACAAGAGCAACACGTGTAACTTCGGCATTGGCAGAGCATCAGGTTTGGTGGCGGTGTGGGACGTCACTGCGGCGTTGCTGACGGTCTATCGTGACAAGATATCATGGCCGACGGGGGTGTGCAAGTCGGTTGTCCTCCGTGCTTTCGCTGACAAGGGGTTCCCCAACTGCCATGGCTGCATCGACTGCATGCATATCTACATTGACAAGCCGGCAAACGCCCTTGGTGAGGACAACTACGATCGGAAACGACATTTCTCAATCATCGTGCAGGTTGTCGTCGATCTGGACTTGCGTGTGTTGGACGTCTTCGTCGGCTATCCTGGAAGCTGCCACGACGTTAGGATCATCCACCTGTCGAGTCTATAGGCACGTGCAGAGGCTGGGGAACTATTCACATGCCCGCCTGTGATGCTGCCATTCAGCGTAAAGACGAACGGCTACCTCCTGGGCGACAATGGTTACCCACCATCCGAATGGATAGTTGTTCCCGATGGCTGCACTCCTCATCACCCGTCGGAGATGAGGTTCGACAACAAGCAGAAGACCGTGAGGGGGGCAGTTCAGAGGGCTTTCGACAGACGTGGAGGTTGTTCCTCCGGTCACACAAGACGAACATGGAGACGTTGCCGCAGCAGTTCGTGGCTGTTTGCATTCTCCACAACTTGCTCATTGACGCCGACATCCCGTAACTTTCCCATTTGATGACAATCTGTTGTGGGAGGTGGATGCGAACGGAGTGTGCTGTTGTGTAGATCTCGGAATCCAGCGTCCCTTGCAGCCGGTGTGCATGGAGAGCACGGCGGGAGACGCGCTCATTCTGAGGGATGCACTGGCCGAGAGGATGGGTGGGCTCTGACGACGCCCGGAGAGAGAGAGAGAGAGAGAGAGAGAGAGAGAGAGAGAGAGAGAGAGAGAGAGAGAGAGAGAGAGAGAGAGAGAGAGAGAGAGAGAGAGAGAGAGAGAGAGAGAGAGAGAGAGAGAGAGAGAGAGAGAGAGAGAGAGAGAGAGAGAGAGAGAGGTTCGTCATCACACGGTGTCGCTCGTTTGGTTTTTCGTGTCGGCGTGTGGGTAGTGTGTTGGCTCTTCGTAGTGTATGTGGTGTGTTGTGTAGGCATCGTGGGATGACAGGACCTACCCGCGTATCGCGGACTGCCATTTTTTTGTAGATGATCGTCACAGTCATGTGTCGTCGGTTGGTTACTTTTCGTTGTTGCATTTCGAGATTTCGTCGTTATGGATTTCGCACATGGCATCCGAGTCATGATCCGACCCCTTTGTGGGCAATTGTGTCTTTTTGAAACATCCGATTGACGCAATTCTTTTGCCCGGGATAGTCTGTTTGTTGTTTCGACGGCCTTTCATGCTGCGCTTTGTTGTTTCGGAACTTATGCGTGTGGATGTTGTGTGATGTTGTCCAGTGTCGAAACTTTTGCTTCTTTTTTCGGTTGTATGGTGCAACACGTGGTGACATTGTGTCGGCGGGGATCACTGTGCTTCCCAATCATGCGCGTGCGCCCTCTTCATAACATTCGTGTGACACTGTGTGGTTGTCAAAAATTTCCAGTGCGATTTCACAGGGCGACCGCCTGTGATTTGGCATTTGTTGTGGTGTGCGTGTGGATGGTGTGATGGTCGTGTGCCGTACGACAGGCATTCGATGCCCAATGCATGTGACATCTGTGTTGTCGACGTGGGACGTGGCATTCAGACATAGCTCATCCATCTGACTAGGAAGGACATTCTTTCTGTTGGACAACTTCACCTAACAAGGCCTTCACACGTAAAGCTTTGAAAAACGTTTTGACTCATCATCCACTGCTGAAAACCATTATTCTTCCCCTTGCCTTCTGTCTTAACCCTTCACACCAGCCATGTACATGTACGTGGAGTCCACACGAACAACACCACCTACTCACATAATCACATTATTCACATGCACAACTAAGTTGAACTAACCGCGATGTTGAGCAAACATTAAAAAGGTGGTTTCACCGTGCATCACGACAGCAGAAAGACCCCACACATGCAACTGCGAACATGCCAAATTCCTGTCGTGGAAACGTGAAAAACGTGTGTCATCGATTAAACAATGAACACCTCTCTCTCTCTCTCTCTCTCTCTCTCTCTCTCTCTCTCTCTCTCTCTCTCTCTCTCTCTCTCTCTCTCTCTCTCTCTCCTCCCCTTCGACAGCCATCACACAATGCGAAGACACCACAATTCGGGATGCCGTCTACAAAATCGCACTGGCGCCCGTGCGAGTGCACTCTGTCGGAATACAATGCGGCGCAGCGGCAGAAATCGACTCGTCGCCGTCAACCTCCGCGCTGCAACAAAGCTGTGCTTAGGGACGTCCACGGTCATAGTCAAGCTGGACCCTAACGCATCGGTTAGATTTGCCCCTGGGCCGAAATCAAGGGAAAGACGGCGCGGCGGTACGGTCCGTCCGAGACCTAATTGTCCCCATTGGACTGGACCGGCGCAACCTCAATGGGCCAATTAGTGGGGTCCGGTCCAAACGGCACCTGAAATGGACCAAGGGTTAGCGAGATAATTAAGTTTGACCGGTTGGGACCGGACCGACACGACCGTGTACTAACCTGGTCGGGAAAGGAACAGCCCTAAGTAAGCCATATAGATGAACAGCCAGGCCCGAATAATTAAAATAGGGTCATGTGCTATTTTTAGCACGGGACTGACTGTTCGTTTCCCAAAGTCGGGCCTGCACCAGTCCCGTTCTAAAAATAACTCAGCCCCACGCTATTTTTAGCGTGGGATTGACTGTTTATCTACCTGGAACTGGGCCTACACCAGTCCCGTTCTAAAAATAGGACTGACTGTTCATATCCCGAGGTTGGGACTGCTGCTATTTTTAGCACAAACCTGGTCTAGAGTTTGACCACAGCCCCGACCATGGGACTGCAGCACAACCCCGATCTCTTGACCTGTCCATTATAAAAGAGAGGCCACGTCACCCAAGAGCATAGATCAGTTCGGGAGAGATCAGCATACGTGGCACGCGCGGCTGGAGCATTTCAGCCCTGACGGAACGGCTAGAGGCAGAGAGCATGAGTCAAAGATCAGCGACTTGCCAGCAGGAGTAAGAGAGGAGCACGGAGTAGGAGGCAAGAGAGTCGAGCGGAAGGCAAGCCAGGGAAGGGATAAGGAAAGGGGGGGGCAAGACCGGCCTCCCACTTTCCCTTTCTCATTCTCTTTCTTCTCTCTCTTCTCATCTTCCCTTTCACTCCCTCTTTTTTCCAACCGCCTCTATTTCCCTTTCACTCACCCTCCGTGAGCTGTGAACGTGCCATATCTGATCTGAGAGCACTTGCCTGAACTTTGTATCTGACTGGTCATAAACTCTGAGCTCACACGCTGTATCTGAGGGTCGTGATCAAACTGTGTGCTTGGGCACACTTGAGAGTTGAAACCAAACTGTGTCTGCGCACACTGTATTTAGGGACAACTTTTGACTACGTCTGCGCAGCTGCATTAGGCTCCGAGGAAACAAGCCGATTTTTTAGACTGCCAGCGCAGTCCCTCTGAGTAAACAAGCCGATTTTGAGACTGCCAGCGCAGTCCCACTGAGTAAACAAGCCGATTTTGAGACTGCCAGCGCAGTCCCACTGAGCAAACAAGCCGATTTTGAGACTGTCAGCGCAGTCATACCGAGTATCAAGCCGATTTTGAGACTGCTAGTGCAGTCATACTGAATATCAAGCCGATTTTGAGACTGCTAGTGCAGTCATACTGAATATCAAGCCGATTTTGAGACTACCAGCGCAGTCACGCTGAGTAACATGTTGATTTGGAGACTGCTAGCGCAGTCGCACCTAGTATCAAACCGATTCTGAGACCACCTATGCAGCCATACCAAATATTAAGCTGATTCAGACTTTGTTTTCGCAGTCACACCAGACAGATTGCACGGTCATTTCGCTGTGCGCAGCATGCGCACTATACTTGAGAGCCATATCCATGCTGTGCGTTGCTCGCACCATGCTTGAGGGCCATATCTGAACAGTGCGCCGTTCGTACCATGTTGTGCGCTGTTCGCACCATGCTTGACGGCCATATCTCAGGGCCATATCTGAACAGTGCGCCGTTCGCACCATGCTGTGCGCTGTTCGCACCATGCTTGAGGGTCATATCTGAGGGCCATATCTGAACAGTGCGCCATTCGACACATCTAGATGTGTATAAGAGACAGCTATGCTTGAGGGCTATACTTGAGGGCCATTTCGCAGCTTCGCAGCTGTTTGTGCACCATATCTGAGGGCCATATCTGAACAGTGCGCCATTCGCACCATGTTGTGCGTTGTTCGCACCATGCTTGAGGGCCATATATGAGGGCCATATCTGAACAGTGCGCCGTTCGCACCATGCTGTGCGCTATTCGCACCATATCTGAGGGCCATATCTGAACAGTGCGCTGTTCGCGTCATACTTGAGAGCCATTTCCGAACAGTGCTATTTTTGAACAGTGTTATTTCTGAACAGTGCTATTCGCAAAGAGCAATTTCTGAATAGAGTTATTCGCGAGGGCCATTACTGAGTAGAGCTATTCTCAAGTGCTATTCTGAACAGTGCCATTTCTGAAGGACCATTTCTAAGTAGAGCTATTCGCAAGTGCTATTCTGAATAGTGTCATTTCTGAATAGTGTTATTCGCAAGTGCCATTTCTGAACAGTGTTATTCTGAACAGTGCCATTTCTGAATAGTGCTATTCGCAAGTGTCATTTCTAAACAGTGCTATTCGCAAAGAGCCATTTCTGAATAGTGCTATTCGTAAGTGTCATTTCTGAACAGTGCTATTCGCAAAGAGCCATTTCTGAATAGTGCTATTCGTAAGTGCTATGTTTTGAACAGTGCCATTTCCCAAGAGCCATTTCTGAGCATTGTGCTATTCATCAGGGTCATTTCTGAGCATTTTGCCACTACTGAGCATTGTGCTATTTGTCAGGGCCATTTCTGAGCATTGTGCTATTTGCAACTGTGTGCTGTTTCGCACCGTGGTTGAGAACCATTTTTGCTATTTGCATTTGTGCGCAGTTGCGCACTGTGATTGAGAATCGTTTTGCTATTCGCATCCGTGCGCGGTTG